TAGTAAGTAAGGGGAACGGGAATGCATACACGAGGCAAAGGAAACAAGGCGAACGCCTAACGGATATAAGTAAACAAACCAAAGTCCAAATGGGTAAAGATCCAAGTTGATGGGCAGAGAGTCCGAACAGGTCTGAGAGAGCCTGTGTGCAGATTAACTGTTTGAAGGGAAACGCTCAGATGCCTTCATAGCATAAAAACCCTGTTGCACTCCAACGATAACACTAACACACCTACTAGACATTTCTACTACAGACATCCTTGAAGTGAACCTCCTGAGAAACTAGTATACTAAATGTCAATGAAAACACCTAGCTCTCATGGCTCAACACAACAAATCTAGATATAGCACAAGATCCATTGTCAGTTGTCGAATGTGTAACGCTAGTCTTTCACGATATCTACAAAAAAAAAAAAAAAAAAAAAAAAAAAAAAAAAAAAACAATTTGAAATTGCCAATTATACAAATGCTAACCCTAAAAAAAGAAACAAATTTCTAAAATAAAAATAATAAAACAAATGTCTAATAGATTCCACTGCAGCACTATCATACCAGTCGCTAGACCACAGCCTAGAGCTTGGGTCATTCAACAATCATCCTTAATGTAGCTTTCCTGCTAACCCCTAACAAAATTAGAACTACTAATTAGAGGATATACCTCTTTTGCCCATGTCTACACTCAGCCCAAATAAGTAAATAACCTTTTATACAAAGTGAAACAAAAATCAACTAAAATAATCAGGACCTCTGCCCATCTGATAGCTGCAAAGCATAATAAACACCTATTATATTCACCTGTATTGTATCTAGTGTACTCGCTGAAACCCGAACACCAAGTCTGCAGTGAGACAATAACCGAAACTCTCATATAGCTTACCCTAACTCCACTGTGCAACAAACACGGACAGAATAATACTGCAACTACTATCCTAGTGTCATAACTGTCTAACCCTAGGCCCAAGCAAAAGATCATCTCAAGAATAATTCCTGACAATATATATATGCCCCAGTTCATTTTTTTTTGTTTATTCATAGCCGTAATGCTCGTACTTGCACTCACTGGTACAGATATTCATAATCAATATCTTAACCTCTAGTATGCTGTTAGTAGCTCAGTGAACTACATAATAGACAGCTCTCCAAAGCTCTAAATGAATAATAGTGAGATTTTTCTCAAGCTACCTGAATAATTGGCCGCCCTGGACAAGTGTCATGTAGAGATGGCCAAAAAAACGAGCGTTCAATGTCTAAGGAAAATACCAAAAAAATATAGGTGTATGTATTATACATATAACAAAGCAGAGAAACTAGAAGAAAAATTACATCAACTTATGCTAACCCTAACCCTACAGAGCTGTGTAACCTGTCTGGATCGTTGTGCCCCAGTTATGTCCTGTCATTTGCTATTCACTCTGAAATACGTAAAATAAATTAAGAAGCAACCGGCCACAAATGTTCCTCTAAATATATATAATAAAGCACTGGGGATTACCCCAGGATGTCACCCTTTTTTGTTTCTATTTGATTATATATCATCCATATAAGTGAAATAATATATATATATATAAAAGGAAACTGGGTAGTATACCCAAATAAATTCTCTAAAAAATAGTGGCAGACAACCATATGGTAAATGAGACAACGAATGTGTCTGTAGGACAGCTGGAATGTCCGTGGCTGATATTCTCAGAAACTTTAGACAATGTGCCCTTCTCAGTGAAAATTAAACCAAAGTATACCAGATATGGTTATAAAGGTCTATGACAGAGGCAACTGAGCTAGATATAAGAAAATCCCAAGTTCAATGAATGTGCTAAGTATATCCAGGCTACTCTACATAAAAAAATAAATCAAAATACTAAAAAGGAAAATTGCATCTTCTATGTAACAGGATAAATTACAGAAATCTAATAATCATAGAATGTTCTTGTCAGAAAAAAATATGACAATTGATATAATGTTTGTCAATAGAGAGAGAGAGAAAAAAAAATTGTAATATAGTCTATAGAATTGTTCCAATAATAGTATGGGTGCATAGCATTCTAGCATGCGGGCATCTACGAATTTAGTATATATATTGACTTACCACCAATTAACCCACATCTATTTCCACCCACAACAATCTGACGTATAAACCGAAACCCTAACCTAAACCCTAACAAGGCCGCTCATGGGAGGCAGCTAACCGAACCTAACCAACACAACAAAACAAACCCTAACCGAACCCTAACAAGGCCGCTCCGGCGAGGCAACTAACCTAACTGAACCCTAACAAGGCCGGCTCCTGGCAAGACAACTAACCTAACCAAACCCTAACAAGGCCGCTCCAGGCAAGACAACCAACCTAACCTAACCCTAACAGCCCTCCCTCATTATAAACACACACACACACCCACCACAACACACACACCACACCCCCCCCACCCCCTTTTCTCCACCACAACACCCCACCTACTAGCCATAACACTCCCCACCCAATCTTCCACCTCAATAACACTGATCCTGTAGCTTAAAAAACGGGGCTTTGGTAGTTAATAGCTGCATAATAAAATACCTTGTTAAGTGCTGTGCAGAACCGAAGGGAAGTAATGGAAAGTCCAAAGCAAAACCCAGTGGCTATCACAACACTACATCGGAGTGAGCGACTACACGTCTTGCAGGCCGAAAGCAAGTCTGAACAAATATGTAAACTCCAACGGATACGTTCGGAGAAGCCGAGGGTGAAAAGGCTTAGAACACGGAGGGAGTCGGATAAGAGCGGGGAGCGAGGCAAGAAACGTTAATAACAAAACTGAAGTACAGGATCGTAGAGTACGAGTATTTATACTAAGTGGTAGGCATAAGGCATATGGCCTCGCAGGGAGATCTGATGTGGTCCGCAGGATCTTCCTGCGGGTTGAGTACAAACACATAGTAAGTAAGGGGAACGGGAATGCATACACGAGGCAAAGGAAACAAGGCGAACGCCTAACGGATATAAGTAAACAAACCAAAGTCCAAATGGGTAAAGATCCAAGTTGATGGGCAGAGAGTCCGAACAGGTCTGAGAGAGCCTGTGTGCAGATTAACTGTTTGAAGGGAAACGCTCAGATGCCTTCATAGCATAAAAACCCTGTTGCACTCCAACGATAACACTAACACACCTACTAGACATTTCTACTACAGACATCCTTGAAGTGAACCTCCTGAGAAACTAGTATACTAAATGTCAATGAAAACACCTAGCTCTCATGGCTCAACACAACAAATCTAGATATAGCACAAGATCCATTGTCAGTTGTCGAATGTGTAACGCTAGTCTTTCACGATATTTAAAAAAAAAAAAAAAAAAAAAAAAAAAAAAAAAAAAACAATTTGAAATTGCCAATTATACAAATGCTAACCCTAAAAAAAGAAACAAATTTCTAAAATAAAAATAATAAAACAAATGTCTAATAGATTCCACTGCAGCACTATCATACCAGTCGCTAGACCACAGCCTAGAGCTTGGGTCATTCAACAATCATCCTTAATGTAGCTTTCCTGCTAACCCCTAACAAAATTAGAACTACTAATTAGAGGATATACCTCTTTTGCCCATGTCTACACTCAGCCCAAATAAGTAAATAACCTTTTATACAAAGTGAAACAAAAATCAACTAAAATAATCAGGACCTCTGCCCATCTGATAGCTGCAAAGCATAATAAACACCTATTATATTCACCTGTATTGTATCTAGTGTACTCGCTGAAACCCGAACACCAAGTCTGCAGTGAGACAATAACCGAAACTCTCATATAGCTTACCCTAACTCCACTGTGCAACAAACACGGACAGAATAATACTGCAACTACTATCCTAGTGTCATAACTGTCTAACCCTAGGCCCAAGCAAAAGATCATCTCAAGAATAATTCCTGACAATATATATATGCCCCAGTTCATTTTTTTTGTTTATTCATAGCCGTAATGCTCGTACTTGCACTCACTGGTACAGATATTCATAATCAATATCTTAACCTCTAGTATGCTGTTAGTAGCTCAGTGAACTACATAATAGACAGCTCTCCAAAGCTCTAAATGAATAATAGTGAGATTTTTCTCAAGCTACCTGAATAATTGGCCGCCCTGGACAAGTGTCATGTAGAGATGGCCAAAAAACGAGCGTTCAATGTCTAAGGAAAATACCAAAAAAATATAGGTGTATGTATTATACATATAACAAAGCAGAGAAACTAGAAGAAAAATTACATCAACTTATGCTAACCCTAACCCTACAGAGCTGTGTAACCTGTCTGGATCGTTGTGCCCCAGTTATGTCCTGTCATTTGCTATTCACTCTGAAATACGTAAAATAAATTAAGAAGCAACCGGCCACAAATGTTCCTCTAAATATATATAATAAAGCACTGGGGATTACCCCAGGATGTCACCCGTTTTTTGTTTCTATTTGATTATATATCATCCATATAAGTGAAATAATATATATATATATAAAAGGAAACTGGGTAGTATACCCAAATAAATTCTCTAAAAAATAGTGGCAGACAACCATATGGTAAATGAGACAACGAATGTGTCTGTAGGACAGCTGGAGGAATGTCCATGGTAATGTGCTACTGGAACCCTCATGGACAGTCAACTATTTTGACCAATCATATGTTAATCTCACGCCTTTCATGTACTAACCCCCTGGACAGGACCCGCCGATCACAAGCCACAGAGCAGCGATGTTGGCGCAGAAAACCCCTTGTCTGTCCTGTTATCAGACTACGCACAGACCTTTATTTTCCTGTACTCCAAAGTAGACCTTACAGATGAACTGGCCTACATACGGTACAGAAATTCTCCACCATCAAATAAACCCCGACTTGGCGGCGTGGACACTACAGGCGGCAAAAGCGGCGAAAGCGGCGAAAGCGGCAAAAGCGGCAAACTGACCGTGACAAGGAGTCACATTCCTGAGGTGACAGAGCTCCAGTCACAGACCCCGTCACTATCGCCGTCCCACCGCTCTCATTATGCCCAAACCCGAGACTTCGACAGCTAACGTCGCTATCCTTACACCAGAGGTAACCTAACCCTGAACTCTGAATAGCTAGATATAAGAATACTTACAGGGCGGCAATGCGGCGAAGAACAAACGCCGTTCCTCCATCGAAGAGGTTCTGCCGCCATCCAAGAAACAGCATAAAGATTCTGCAACAACTACATCCCCCACAGATGGTCCCCAACTGAACGGACAACAAGAAATGATCAGGAAGTTGGTCGTAGAAGGCGGCAAGAGTGTGTTCTTCACTGGAAGTGCTGGTGCGTAGCATCACTCACACTCAACCCACGCTCTGGTGCTCAAGGGGGAAGGCACGGGGAAATCAGTCGTACTCCGCAAAATTATCGCTGATCTAAAGGAGAAATTCAAGAAAGAACCCAACTCAACAATGGCCGCAGTAGCGGTAACAGCACCAACGGGTGAGTGTCGGCTGTACGGTATGGCTCGGGCTCGCCCTAACCTACGAAAGGGATTGCCGCGTGTAACATCGGTGGCGTGACAATCCACTCCTGGGCAGGGGTCGGAACGGCAAAGGAAGACATCACGACAACAGTGAATAAAATCAAGAAAAATAAACGACACCTGGCGAACTGGCTGCGGGCCAAAGTGCTTGTCATCGATGAAGGTATATTGTCAAATTCGAACTGTGCAGGCTGCCCCTCATGACAAGATAGTGTCGATGGTAGACGCTTACCTGATGGACATGCTGGCTAAGATCGCAAGGGAGCTGACGAACCGACCGAACGACAGCTTCGGTGGCATACAGCTAGTCGTCAGCGGGGACTTTCTCCAACTCCCACCGGTGACGAAAAAAACCGTTAAATATGCATTCGAATCGCAGATGTGGGACCAGACGATAGAACAAGCCTTTATCTTAACGGAGGTTTTTCGTCAGAAAGACCCGGGTTAGTAATGGCGTCTACCACGAGAGTGCGCACTTACTGGACTATCTCCCAGAGTTTCTGCGTGTACTAGAAGAAATCCGCGTAGGGGTCGCATCGCAAGCCACGATCGACAAGCTCCAATCTCTGTCGCGACCGCTAGACACAAAACACGGAATTAAGCCCATCGAACTGTAAGTTGCAACCGTCGGCCTGTGATACGCAAGGGTCTGATGTTGACTCAACTAAGATATCCCATGCGTAAAGATGTAGAGGCCCGGAACAACTGGCTCATCGCGGAACTGAAGGGAGGCGAAACGATGAGCTTCGCGGCTCAGGACTCCATACACATCGCGGACAAGGAGGCAGGCGAAAAGATGCTAGAACAGATTGTGGCACTCAAAAGCCTAGAACTGCGATCCGGCGCTCAAGTACGTCGAATGAGCACACGCCTGTGGGCGCTTAAACGACATATAGGTGATGCTGATCAAAAACGTTGACAAAAATATGGTCAACGGCACAATGGGCATCGTCACCGGCTTCGTGACGCCTTCGGATGCCAGCAAAGAAGAGTTACAAACCCTGCCACCATCTGCGACGACCGCGAAAAGCAGGACCTCGGGACGGAAGGATGGCACGGCGCCGGATACGAGCGGCGGCACGAATCAACGCCAGGATAAATTCCCTCTAGTGGTCTTTCAACTTCCGCACGGGGGGACAATCTCACCGCGTGTTGGTCAAGCCGGAAACCTTCAGCATGGAGGACCCAGAGGGAAAAGTGCTCGTGGAGCGATTACAGGTCGGTCAAGATATACGGTGGACACTCTGACAAGACGACGGCCAGATCCCCGTGATTCCGGCATACGCTCTGAGTATCCACAAAGCACAAGGCCAAACACTCGAGCATGTCAAAATCGACCTGAGCGGGGCCTTTGCGTGTGGTAGTGTCGCTGGAAGGAACATAGGCCAAGCGTCTGACTGCCGACAGGTCAAACATATGTAGCGCTATCGCGCGCCACATCTTTCACCGGACTACAGGTGCTTAATTTTCACCCGTAGGTGTAAGATTTAGCCTGGGCTCTAGGAATAGCTAGAATAGCGGTAGCCTAAAACTCTAGGAAGACTTTTCCCAGCCAAGAAAGACTTTAGAAATAGGTTATTAATACATCAAATTGATAGATATGATGCTAAAAATACTATATATAGTAATGCTAACTCCTTTTCTTCAGGCCGATGACCCGGTATATAGTGGGGAAGGCCTGTGTTCAGGATTATCCTAATTGGGACCAAAATGATGTAGCTTGACACAGTGATCAAAACTACTGATGGCCATCAAAAATCGTTCCACATCAATAATATATATTAAGGACCACAATCCCCATCAAAATTAAGGCAATATAAAGGCAGAAAATAAATAAATAAAGAATAATATCATAGTAATTACCCTGCTAGAACATAGGGACTAGGAATACCTAGTTTTCTAGGCTACCACTATTCTAGCTATTCCTAGAGCTTTTTAGGCTAAATATTACCACTACGGCTCTAATTTTGACGCGAAAAAGGTGCGTAGAGCGCCGACAGGAAACTGGGATAATAAGGTAGTCGGCACAGGTCAAAGCGGACAAGCGGGTCGTACGATACTACAGACAGCTAGCGTCTGGGGGAACAGTGATTAACTGGGCAGAATGATACAGTGTACACTTATGAATGGAAGAAGCAGTACCGGGAGATGTACTCGTTGGGAGAAAGTCCTAAAGCCTGAGCAGCGGCAATCATGAGGGCCACACGGGGGTCAAGCGGTCGCGGAGTGTCAGGTAACAACAGCAACAGTGGCGGTAGCGGCAGTGGCGGCGGCGGCGGCGGCGGCGGCGGCGGCGGCGGCGGCGGAGACGACGAATGCGTGGGAGACAGCACAAGAGCCGAAGATAAAGAGGGACTGAATGTAAGAGGCTGTGTCGACCTAAGCATCGGCAGCGACGACAAAATCGGCAGCGACAGCACAGGTGATGACGGCGGGGATTGGGAAGGAGGCAGAGGTTTGGCATTGGCTGGAGTTGTTCGCGGCTCATCTTGAGTTTCTACGGGCTGACTGTAAACCGCGGCGCCATCAGCAAACTCACTGTCAAGAGGGAAGGAGCCAAAGTCAAAATATGACTCGCTAACATCGCCCGGTGAATATACTGGCGACAGCCCGTCAAGCACGTCAACATAATGCGGACCGCTGCGTACGACCGGAGAACAGGGAGGAGAAATAGACGGCGCGGAAGGGTTGGAGTAGGGCAAAGAGTCAAGGCAGAGGCCGGTCAACCGCAGGACATCCTCTGCGCTGGTGATTGGCTGCTCGCTGATGACCTCGATCTCGTCTGACAGCGGCTGGGTGCTGCGAACAGGGCGCCGCGCGAATAACAGCGGCGGCGGTGTTGAAGGAAGAAGATGTTGACACTCGCGATTGTCCGAAAGCGTTCCCAGGAGAGAGAGCAGCTGGTTGAGAAGCCCACAGAGCTGGACCAATGGGCCATTCTCTCGATCCAAATTGGAGTTTTCCGGGAACAGCAGCGCACCCTTGAGCTGCTCTAAGTGGTCGGCCGCTGTCTTCAGCATAGCATGTGCCTTGGTTACGAGGGCATGATGGGACTCCTCGAGATGAGACTGGAGAGCGGCGACGTCGAGCTCTTGTCCTCGCGCTCGTTTAGAGGGTTGATGCTCATCCACATTTCTGACATCTGCTTGGTTTTTCTCATGCTGGAAAGAGAAGAATCAAATAGGGAATAAAATTTACCTCTGGTATGCGCGTGCCTTGAAAAACAGGCTTGAGGAGGCTCGCATGTCCCATCCGAAAACGAAAGAGCGCGTTTTCGGCTCATGAAATCGACGCAGGCGCTCCGAAGGCGCGAGAGACACAAATGTACCAAATGAACAGGGAATGAGAGACAAAAGACAACGAAGGCTTCTTTGCCACGTGAGGGCGACAATCGTGGGAATAGCGGCAGCACGTGGAGCAGCAAGAACGACAATCGCTAGTCGGCCCAAAGGCCAGTCCAACAAAACCCAAATAGCGCATGTATAGGAGCTAAAACCAAGAAAAAACTACCATTGAATTGCGACGCAGCGACATATGCATGGAACAAAAGAGAGGAGCAACTACAAAGCTATCGCTTGGATAAGTCGAAGAGAGCAATGCCGTGCTCGATACCGGAAACACCAAGGAGGACGTGGTCAGACTGTGGCATTGAAGTGATGAGATAAAAAAGAATGAGAAGGAACCGTTAAACAAACACTGGCAGGCCCGAGCGCCGGAGAGAGCGGCAAACGGTTGTTGTCCGAAGGCGAGAGAGCGGTAGTCCGCAGGTTGGGAGGCGATTGCCCAGACTTGGGTGGAAAAAAGCAAGTCGCACATGCGCCGCGCACTTGTGAGGCTAGAGTCGGACGAGCGGCAGCGGCTACTTCATCGGGGTGGAGTCGGAGCGAATCATCTCGACACCACAGAGTAATGAAGAGGCCAAATCCTGCACAGCCTGGAACGCAATGGTGTTGTCTTGCTTCATCTGCAAAATGAGAGCCAGTAGGCTATCATCGAGGGAAGTTGACGAAGGACCACAGGGTTCGGACGGGGGGGGCCCCCGGGGGGGGAGGAAGGAAGAGGCCCCCCGCCCGGCGGGGCGGGGGGCCCGGGGGGGCCCCGGGGCCGCCCCGGCGGGGCGGGGGGCGGGGGGGGGAGGGGGAAGGAGCAACCGCCGCGCGGGAGGCCCGGGCCCCTTTTTTCCCCCGCCTTGCCCCCCTTGGGCCCCTTGCCCCCACGCCCCTACGCCTCCCACCCCCCCCCCCCCCCCCCCCGGGCCCGGGGGGGGCGCCCCCCCGCGCCCCCCCCCGGCCCCCCCCCCCGCCCCGCGGCCCGCGCCGCCGCGCCGCCGCGGGGCGGGGCGCCCCCGGGGGGGCGGGGGCGGGCGCCCCCCCCCCCCCCCCCCCCCGCGCGGGGGGGGGGGGGGCCGCCGGGCGGCCGGGGGGGGGGGAGGGGGCGGGGGCGCCGGGGGGGGGCGGGGGCGGGGGCCCCGGGGCCCGGCCGGCGCGGGGGGCCGGGGCGCCAAGGGGCGCCGGGGCCCGGGGGGGGGGGGGGGGGGGGGGGGGGGGGGGCGGGGGGGGGGGGGGGGGCGAGGGGGGGGGGGGGGGGGGGGGGGGGGGGGGGGGGGCGGCCGGGGGGGGGGGGCCGGCGGGCCGGGGGGGCCACCGGGGCGGCCGGGCCCCGGGGGGGGGGGGGGGGCCCCGGGGGGGGGGGGGCGCGGGGGGGGGGGGGGGGGGCCCGGGGGCCGGGGGGGGGGCCCGGGGGCCCGCGAGCCCGCCCGGGGCGCCGGCGCCCCGGGCCCGCGGGCGCGCCCGGCCCCCGGGGGCGCCCGGCCCCCGGCGGGGGCCCGGACGCACGGGGCCGCCCCCGGCGGGGGGGGGCCCGGGCCCCGGCGGGGGGGGGCCCGGGGGCGGCCGCCCGCGGGGCGGGGGGGCCGCGGGGGGGGGGGGGGGGGGGGGGGGGCGGGGCGGCGGGGCGGGGGCGGGCGCGGGCCCCCCGGGGGCGCGGGGGGGGGGGCGGGGGGCCGGGGGGGGCCCCCCCCCGGGGGAGGGGGCCCCGGGCCCCCCCGCGCGGCGCGCCCCCCCGCCGGGGCCCCGGGGGCCGGGGGCCCCGGCCCCCCCGCCGGGGGGACGGGGCCGAAAGGCAGGCGGCCGGCCGGGGGCCGCCGGCCAGGCCCCCCCGGGGGGGGCGCCGCGGGCCCGCGGCGGCGGGGCCCCCGGGGGGGGGGCGGGGGGGGGGGCCGGGGGGGGGGGCCGGCGGCGGGCGCCACGGGGGGGCGGGGAGGGGGGGAGGCCGGGGGGGGGGGTGGGGCGGGCCACCCGGAGCGGGCCGGCACAGGGGAGACGCCGCGGGGCGCCGAAAGCCGGCCGCCAGCGGGGGGGAAGGCGGCGCGACGGGGGGGCCCCCGCGGCCACGGCCGGCACCCCCCCCCCGGGAAGGGGGCGCGCACCCGGGGCGGGGGGCAACCCGGCGGGGGGGGCGCCCCGGCGGGCGGGGGGGGGCGCCCGGCGCGGGGGAGGGGGGGGGGGGGGGCGGCCCGGGGGGCGGGGGGCGGGCCGGGGGGGCGGGGGGGGGGGGGGGGGGGCCCGGCCCGGGGGGGGGGGGGGGGGGGGGGGGGGGCCGGGCCCGCGGGGCGGCGGGGGCCCCGCCCCGCGGGGGGGGAGGGGGGCCCCGGCCGGCCCGCCCCCGGGCGGCCCCCCGGGGGCCCCCCCGGCGGGGGGGGGGGCGGGGGGGGGCCCACCGCCGGGGCCGGCGGGGGGGGGGGCCGGGCGCCCCCGGGGGCCGGGGGGCGGCGGGCGGGCCCGGGGGCCCGGGCCCCGGGGGCGCGGGCGCCGGGGCCCCGGGCCCGGCGGGGGGGGGGGGGGGCGGCGCGGCGGGGGGGGGGGGGGCCGCGGGGGGCGGGGGGGGGGGGGGGGGGGGCGCGGGGGGGGGGGGGGGGGGGGGGGGGGGGCGGGGGGGGCGCGGGGCCGGCGGGGGGGGGGGGGGGGGGGGGGGGGGGCGGGGGGGGGGCCGGGGGGGGGGGGGGGGGGGGGCCGGGGCCGGGGGGGGGGGGCCCCGGGGGGGGGGCCGGGGGGGGGCAAGGGGGGGGGCCGGGGGGCGGCCGGGGGGGGGGGGGGGGGGGCGGGGGGGGGGGGGGGGGGGGGGGGGGGGGGGGCCGGGGGGGGGGGAGGGGGGCGGGGGGCGGGGGGGGGCCCCGGGGGGGCGGCGGGCACCGCGGGGGGGCGGCGGGGCCCCCGCGGCGGGGGGGGGGGGGCCTGCGCGGGGGGGGGGGGGGGGGCGGGGGCGGGGGGGGGGGCGGGGGGGGGGGGGGGGGGGGGGGGGGGGGGGGGGCCGGGGGGGGGGGGGGGGCGCGGGGGGGGGCGGGGGGGGGGGAGGGGGCCGGGGGGGCCGGGGGGGGGCCGGGGCCGGGGGGGGGGGGGGGCCGCGGGGCGGGGGCGGGGCCG